AAAAAATTGGGCTATCCATCTGCTAATTCAGTTGGCTGGATTGCTTCATGAGATGATAGGGGCRTCATAGACCGATGTGGGAGGGGCCTATCCGAAAATGGAAGACTCTCTCACGGTACCTTGGCGTTCACGAACATGATGGGTGAGCATTTACTGGATAGAAAGGTTTAACCTAAAATGGCTATGAACCTTGTCTGACAGAGGCCAAAGGGAAAGCTCATAAGATGAGTGGATGAGATCCTTCACAGAAGGTGGTGGGGTTTTGCAGCTGAAACAGTTGGCTCCATTAACCCCATGTGGTTTCCTACATTTCCAAAGACACAACTATCTCCGTCATTGAGATTGGAGGGAATCTCAGAGATTCCCAAAATGGAAATGGAACATAGATTAAAAGTCCTTTCTATGTGATGACATGAATCAATTAGGTTGTGGACTTATAAATTCGCTTTGCCTTTACCAGAAATGGCAAATGGAAACTTCACCAAGTTGTTGGATGATAATAAACTCAAGGGCCGAAATTATGCTAACTGGTTTTGAAACCTTATGCTGGTCTTGATGTCCGAGAAATTGAACAAAGTTGCTAAGAACCCTGCTCCGAATCATCCGAGTGACAAGGTTTCTGAGGCCTGAAGAAGAGAGTATCAAGAATGGGAAGAGATAAATTCTCTTGCCCGATGTTATATTTTAGCCTCTTTAGACAATCCGATACAGTGACAATTCGATAAGATCGAAGTCTCCAAGGATATATTGGATAGTCTGAAGACTATGTACGAAGAGCAAAACTGTTCTACTCGACAAAAGGTCTTAAAAGTGTTTATGACCGCACAGATGACCAAGAACCAATAGGTTCATGACCATTGTCTAAAGATGATGGGTTATATCAATGAACTGGAGGCTCTTGGGTTAGGACTAGATCATGACACCAAAATTGATGTTGCCCTCAATTTTTTACCTCCATCCTTCAATCAGTTTATTATGAATTACAACATGAATAAGCTAAACGTTAGCCTTCAGAAACTCAACAATGTGTTGCAGAGGGCTGAAAAATTGATTAAGAAGGATAAGCCGATAGCCATGCTTGTTAAAGGTGGCAAATCGGGAAAGAAAAAGTGGAAGGGTAAAGGAAAACTCAAAAAAGGGTAGAAAAACTAAAAAGCAGAAGAAAGACAAAGCATCAGATGCCTGTCATTTCTACAAACAGATCGGCCACTAGAAGAGGAATTGTCCTCAATACCTGGAGACTAAGAAACAAGGTATGTTTGATTCTTTTATCATAGAGACCAATTTGTTGGTCACTTCTGCTTCCTGGTGTATTGACTCTAGGGCTTCAACACATGTGTGTAACTCACTACAGGGGTTAAAGATAAAAAGTAGACTGAGTGATGGAGAAGTGACACTTATTTGGGGACTTCTGCAACTGTTGCAGCTACTGCCATAGGCACTGTAGAATTAGTTTTCAGAGAAGGTATTATTGTACTAAAAGATTGTCTTTTTGTACCTAATTTAAGAAAAATTTTGATTTTTGTCCCAAAATTGTGCATGAATGGTTATTATATTTTGTTTAGTAATGTGATTACCATTAAACGGAATAACAAATTCCTAGCATATGGAGAACTTGAGAATGGTCTCTATGTTCTCCATCCCTCTCTTGAAACCAACATTACCGAAACTACATTAGAAATAATCCCCAAGAAAAGAATCCATGATACAGTTAGCCCCACGTGCCTATAGAATTACCAACTTGGCCACATTAATATAGATCATATCACAAGGTTGGTAAATGATGGTCCTTTGGATTTTTTAACCGTAGAAGATCTTCCAACCTGTGAACCTTTCCTTCAGGGTAAGATGACGTAGCGACCATTTAATGGTAAACTTGAAAAATCTACAGGCACAGTTGACCTTATACATACTGATGTATGTGGTCCCCTGAATGTTAGGATACGTAATCAACACATTTATTTTATAACCTTTATCGATGATTATACTCGATATGGTTACGTGTACCTAATGAGACATAAGTTTGAATCCTTTAAAAAGTTCAAGGAGTTCAGACAAGAAGTTGAGAAATAGTTRGGGAGAGAAATTAAAACCCTTCAATCAGATGAAGGTAGTGAGTATCTCTCTGACGAATTCARGGACTACTTAAAGGACAATGGGATAATATCACAATTAGCCCCTCCCACTACACCATAGTTAAACGGTGTGTCGAAGAAGAGGAACCGGACCCAATTGGATATTGTCTGATCACTTCTCATTCACTTAGAATTACCTACATCCTTTTGGGGATATGCATTGGAGACTACGATTTACGTGCAGAACCGGGTTCCAACCAAATCCGTTCCGAAGACTCCCTATGAGCTTTGGACTGGGAAGAAACCAAGTGTAAGACACTTGAAGATTTGGGGTTGTCCAGCACATGTTAAAAGAACTAGTGCTGACAAATTGAAATCTAAGACAAGTCGATGCCTATTTGTAGGTTACCCCAAAGGCTCTATAGGTTACCTATTCTACGATCTGAAAGAACAAAAGGTGTTTTGCATTCGAAATGTCTATTTCATAGAAGAAGATTACATCTTGGAGAATCTTTAGCAAGAAGTTATTCTTGATGAGGAGAGCTCAAGAGTAGTGGGAGATGTCCCACAAGCTCCAAACACTCAACCTAGAAGCTCTACCCGAGTATATATGCCTCCAGTTCGTTATGACTATGATCAAGAAAGTTAGAAAGAAGGCAATAAAGAAGGGCAATAAAGAAGGCAATTAGAAGGAAACAGGCCAATTCGGATGATTTTGCACAGTTTCGGCGACAGTCAGTGATCTGGGCCTAACTCACAATTCCGGACTCCGAATTGGGAAATTCAAGAAGCATTAGAAAGAAGAAAAAAAGGCCCACAACTTTTATGTTTTGGGTTTTGACTGATTCGGTCGGCATCGGGTACGAAACCGGGCCCAAAGTCAGAGCAAGTTCGTAGCCAGGCCCATTTAACAGCTGAAGCCCAACTCGCAGAAGAACCTGGAAGCAGCCCAAGTAGCAGAGAAGCCCAACTCAAATACAAGAGTCTAGAGTCCTAATTC